GGGGGGGAGAAATGACCCAAACATTGTATGCACATATGAATATAATAAAAAAAGAAAAAAAAAAGTGAACCTTTCTGGTTAGTAGAAACCAGAACTTTCCAACAAGGCTTCATATCTCATTTTTGTCACATCAAGAGATTAAAAGTGGCCTGGAGCTGGGTGAGCTTTTTAGCAGGGAGAAAGGGGAAGAGGAGCCATGGACCACCTGTGCTGGTTCCTTATCGGACATGGCTGCAGGCAACCTCACTGATGGATCTGGAGCAGCCACCCACTGACTGCCAGCAGGACTGCTTTCTCCCCTGCTCTGCCTCCACTGTCAGCCTCTGGAATATAGGCCCAGCAGCTCAAGGTCACTGTCCCAGGGGGTTTCCTCCTTCAGAGTGAAATTGTGGGGCATTCGGTGACAATGGAACCCACCTACTGGCTGGCTGCCAAGCACAGCTTGCAAGGATAAGCCAGTTTCTCTGCTATCTGTTGAGGTTGGGGCTCGGGCCTCAGGTCCGGCCATGTCAGTGGTAGCAGCCTTGACTTACTAGAGCTTGAGACACAGGTTGAGAGGAAAATGTGTCTCTTACCAGTTGGCCAAGCTCCTACTTCAGACCCAGAGAAGAACTTGGCTCCTTTGTGTTTTTACTCACTAGTCCAACGCCACCATCACCCTCGAGGCCCAGAAGACAGCCCTGTCTGCCTCATTTAGCGCAGACTGAGCTAAACATCTTCCCAGAGATCTTCATGCTTTTGTCTTGCAGCTTTGAGTTTGGCTGAGTGAGGGTACTGGCAGGTACACTCTCTCTTCCCACGTGGTGGTCCCTTCATTGCCCATACTAAGGGAATGTGTATCTAAGGGGACATGCCCCTTGGGCACAGTGTGCCTCTACAATAGTGGGGTATGGGATGGTGTTTGGGAGAGGCTCCTGTAGACATGTTCATGCTACTGGTAAAGACTGCTTCAGCTGACCAGTGGCCACAGTCTAGTCACCTGAATAGTCTTCCTAAGAAAAGAGACACTACAGTGCTTGCCACACTGGCTAGGCAGACAGGAGTAGGGGGCTGAGGGCCAAAGCTAGATGGCATCAGAGGGTAGCCTTAAATGCCCAGCGCCCTGGTGGGGGAAACCTGGCAGCACCCCTCCTGGGTCTCTAGCAGAGACGTCCCTTAAATCTGGGAGGTTGTGTAGCTGGTTCTGAGCAGGCTGGAGCGTTGTGCTCACCCTGACTTCACCTGCCTTTGTAGAAATGCTGCTTTTCCAACAAAAGCATTTCTGAAGACGGGGATGACAGTATCTAGCGTGGTGCTTGGCACATGGGCAGTGCTGGGGATGGAACACAGCTTTCCAATGCCAGGCAAGCCCTCTGCCACTGAGCTGAGTCACACGTCCAGGTCAAATAATGCATCCTCTGTGTAGTTCTCGAGCAGCTTTGCAACACCAAAGCAGCACAGTGGATGAGTGACACTAGTTTGATGACCTGTCAAGATAATGAGCATCCATGGTCACGTTTGGCCCCTGTAACCAGTGTGAGTGGTAGCCAAGGTGTGTCCTGTGTGGTATGTGGGGTAACCAGCATTTGTGATTGGTTTAGGAAGGGTGAATGGAGGTGGGTGCTGGGTTTCCAAAGCCCTTCTGTGCCTGATTCATGCATGTGGCCAAGGGCTTCTTGACCAAGAAGTGAGAGCTGAACAACTGAATTGCTCCCAGGAACCCCGGGCCTGCAAAATGCTGTTTGACAAGATTCCATGATTTTCTGGTAGCTCAGGCCGCAACTTTAGTAGGCGTATCCTTGATTGTCTCACTAGGAAATATTTATTGGTCACCCACCACATGCCTGCCATGTGTCAGGTTCTGAACGTAGACCAAATCCCCATCCCTTGGAGCATGCGTTTTAGTGGGGAGACACTAGGGAGGAATGGGAGTTGGGGAGGAAGGTGGAACATGGACCTGAAGGCAGAGAGGAAATCTGAGTCATGCAGCCTTCTGAAGGAGAGGGTCCCAGGCAGGGGAGCCCCAGGGAACAGGAGGCATCCAACTCTGCATTTAGTCGGGGTGTGGCTTTGCTAGTGGAGGGCAGGAGAATGGCCAGAGGAGGAATCCCCTGCAGGGGCCTGAGGAGGCTTGGAATAGGAGTCAAGGCCCTTTCTATGCAGGTGCTGCTCTGTGCCATAGCCAGCATCAGGCACTGCCTGATGTTGACAAAAATGCCTCTGCCTACTGTCACTGTCTTATAGGTGAAGAAACAAGCAGAGGTGATCACTTTGCCTCAGGCACCTTGTCTTTAAGATACAGCTGTACTGGGAGCTGGCTGGCTGGGCTCTTATCCTCCATAGTGCTGTGTGGTTAGGAGCCCAGAGTGGGTTCTTCCTTCTGGGCAGAGGTGGGCTGGGCATGAGAATCATGATTTAGCAGCATCTGACCAGGTGACCAAGTGTCCTAAAAATAACCTTTTATTCCAGGTGCATGCAATTATTTATTTAGGAGCTGTGACAATCACAAGTTCCATCGAGTCGGGTGAGGTCTTGGCGTATTTACTAAATACTCTTGCTGGCTGCCCAGGGCCTTCCAAGATGGCAGTGTTCCTGGCATTGTCTAGCCGACTGGAGCCACAGACCCAGCTTGAGCAAAGGAGCATTTAGAAGAGGGACAGTCTCGTAGAGCTCAGCCCTAGTGTGACTCTGGCCGGGTTCTTTGGGGATGTGTGGAGAGCAGTTTCTCAACTACACTCCTGGGGTCTGCTCCAGGGCGAAGTCATGTGGGCTCCAGTGTGTGCAGAGCTGAAGGAGAGAGGAGGCCCGAACTCCCGTCCACACCGCGATCCAGGTGCATTTCATTGCTGTGGCTGGAGCCCAGCACAGCGCTGCCTGCCTGCAGTAGGCCTCACAGGACACAGCAGGTGCATGACACAGGCCAGTGGTGCTGCAGCTGCTGCTGGAGCTGCTCCTTTTCCGCCGTCAGCACCTTCACCTTCTCCTCCAGCTTGCCCAGCTCTATCGTCCACTTCTGAGGGGACAGTGTGGAAGTAGGTGGCCAAGCTGACATCCTGGACCGTCCATCCTTCCCCTGGGGTGGACCCGCAGCCCCTGGGGGAGGGGCTTTGGTCATGCTGCCACCTCTGACCAAGCAGCCCTGACTGCTTGAAGTTACCAGCTGGTAGAACCCTGGGACAGAGTTATTCTTGGCAGCCTCCCAGGCACCAGGATAGGCACAGGCTGACCATCCGGCCATGTCCTGCTCACTCTGTCTGCTTTCCTTTTCCTCTGGAAAAGACTTCTCCTTGGAACCGAGTCCAGCTGTCCTCTGCTCCTCTCTGCAGGGTCCCTCCCCCTGCCCCCCAATACTGTACACAGGCCTTGGGATTTCCTTTCCACTCCTCAATATTCCAGTCTCCCTGTTCCCTGACCACTCGACGGTAGAGCCTTAACCACCCAAGCAGGGTGAGGTGGGGTGTCAGGTGCTGTGGAAAAGAGGACACAGACCTTTAAAAGGAGTCTGTTGGGATATTTACCCCCAGCCATGCAGTGCAGTAAGGGAGGAGATGGGGTTCCCTTTGCCTAAGCCCTCCCACGGGACCCCGGGATGCACGAAGTCTGCTCAGTGAATGGCTGGAGGGGCCTGGGCCACCTCACCTGCCTGCACCAATCCTGGATAGCACTGACGGACAGTGGGCCCTGGATGCTCCCATCGCGCCGCAGGAACACCTCCCCCTGGTCTGTCTCGTACAGCTGTGGCTCACTCTGGGCCTTGGGGGTGTGCACAGTCAGGCGGAGCACCTTGGCAGGGGCAATAGCAGTTCAGGCAGTGTCACACCTGACGGTGGCAGCCCCAGTCCAGCGTAGGTTGCTCTGTACCCTGGCTCCCTAAGGTGCCTGGAGGGCTCCTCCCCTCCACCGCTCCTCCCCCCATCTCAACTCTGTAGCATGGGCTATCATCCTGCTGGGTGATGACAGATGCCAGGTCTGCCAGTCCCACAGGATCACCTTGAGAGGCACACTGGAAGTGGAGGTGCTGATGACTGGGATGAAGGTGAGAGTGTAGGCATCAGGAAAGACCTGGGGCTTGAAGTTTTGCAGGATGGAGTCCACCAGTAGGCGGGCACGGTCCTCATCACGGTGGCTGCAGCGGATGCCCTGAACTAGGCCACTGTCCTCAACACCCACGAACAGGCTGCCACCTTCGCTGTTGAGGAAGGCGCACACATAGCGCCGCACGTGGTGCTTAAAGGCCAAGCTCAGGTACTCACCACTGCCCCGCTTGAACTCCACGTTCCGCGTCTCGCTGCCCAGAAAGGCGCCCTGGAATAGCCGTTCCTGGCCCAGGATCTCCTGGTGCTCAATGGCGCTGTCAGACTGCACACCTCTGGGCTGGTTCTGGAAAATCTGCCGCCGCCTAGTGCAGCGCAGGTTAGGTGAGCGGTTTGCAGGCCAGGCTGGCAGCCGGAGGCTGAAGCCTGGGCTGGGGCCAGGGCTGGGGCCAGGGCTGGGGCCACTGTCTTCCTCCTGCTGGGGTAGGAGTCAAGGCCAGAGTGTATGGACTCAGGCAGAAGTCAGGAGCCCCTGCCTGAAACAGACTGCCAGACCTTAATTATACCCCTACCTGGGCTCCAGCTCCCATATGCATCCCTTCCAGGCTGACAGACCCAATTCTGCCCACCCTCCTGCAGCCAAGGTGAGGCCAACCTGCTGGATTAAGTGTCCAAAGTAGCCACTAGGCTGAGCTCTTCCTAGGCACTGGGTTGTGGGATGCGTGGGTGGGTAAGAAGAGATTGCTCCTTTCTGGGGTGGGAGCTGGCACACCTTGCAGGCCGGTCTGTTCCCACCTGTTGCAGATAGGCCTCTGAGGCCTAGGCCTGATGATTCCAGGTGATATCTGAGTGCCTGAGTTTCCTGTGTAGAACTGCAGGTCCCTGAACTGAGGGACCCAAACCTCTTCTTGTTCTACCTGGAACCTTTGTTTGCTGCTTCCTGGGCCACTGACACATTGTCTTGAGTCCTACCTTTCTTCTGTCCCCCCCTGAGTGCTCTTAATGGCTTCTCATGTGTCCCAGGGCATTGTGTAGCCTCGTGGCCACTTCCCCAGTTGGGCCTTGCCAGTCACCCCTCACCACTTCCTCTTTGGATCTTCCTTACCAGCCCTACTGCAAGTCAAATGTCCACTCCCCTAGAAAGTTTTCCTTGGCTCCCTGTTGCCTTTGCCTCTCCAGGACTGGGTGCTCAGTGTGGGCTGGCACATGGAGATGAGGGGCACAGCTCTGCCATCCCAGCAACTGGCATCCCATAGGAGATGAACATACAGTCTCCAAAACACAATAGAAGTCTCCTACAAGCACAAAAGTAGCCACACGAATTGAAAGGTGTTTAGTTCCACAACAGTTCAGACACCATGGGCTTGCACTCCAAAGAGAAGTTACACCAAGATTATCTGTACGGTAGCCTCCCACCTATGACAAAGCCAGTTCTGCCTTGGCTACAGAATGATGACCTCGACCCTACCTTCTAGCCCAGCCTCCTCCTTCAGCAACCCCTGCAGTCTATAACCGGAGCTCCAGGGACACCAAATGCCTTGCCCTACAAGTACAACATTCCATCCACCCTGTCCCTTTGCACGCTGGTTCCTTCTGGAATGTCCCCTCTCCCTCCGCCCAGAGTCTGTCAAATTCCCTAAGTCCAAGCCTGGATTTCATGTCCCCTGTGAATATAACCCCAGTGAGAGGTGAGGGCCCGCTGTGTCTTTGCACAGCCACCTTAGCTTTGTTTGGTCTGCTCTGGTTAGGGATGGAGGGCTCCCTGAGGGCAGGTTCGGGCCATGAGTCTGCCTCACTCCTGGCACAGAGTGGATATTGTTTAAATGAGGTGGGCTAAGGAGAAAATCAGGATCCATGTACATCCAGTACCTTCTGGGCCCAGAGGGTGGGATGCAAAAGTGCCCAGGGAAGAGCCCTATACTGTGAACTTTCTTCACACAAGCTCGGGCTAGAGGTGTGCAAGGGCCAGCCTCCCTCAGGGTGAAGGTGGACAGTCATCCGACTAGCAGGCGCCAAGTCTGCAGACTCATCCCTGTGCCTCAGCTCCTCAGCCACTCATACTGGCCGCTTCCCACGGCGTGCCTTCGGGGATCACTGGGGAAGAAGTCCCACTCACCTCTCTGTGGCTTAGGGGCACTCGGCTCTCACTCAATACCAGCTCCTTCCCGCGGGCCGTCAGCTCTTTCAGAATCAGCTGCTCCTCCAAGGCCATCTGCAGGCGCCAGGGGAGGGAGGCCATGGTGGCCTTCTGGGTGGTTACCCGCACTAGTGCATAGGCATTCCTCGGCCGTCTCACCACCTCGATGTGCTCCCGAGCCACAGGCAGCTCGAGCCGCTCCAGGGTGTCTCGTAGCAGGCAGGCGAGCACAGGTACTGAGAACTGGGGGTTCAGGTGGCCCACATAGAGAGTATGTGTGCTAGGAACTGCCTTGAGGCCCAAGTCCTCCGGCAGGGACTCTTCTTGGGGGAGATCTGGCAGAGGCTGCTTGCCCTGGGGTTCCAGGAGGGGCTCCCACATCAGTGTTTGTTCTGGGCTCTTCCTGGGGGTCATGGCGGGTTTTTCTCAGAAGGGATCCAGATTCCTCACTGCTGGCTGCTCCTCAGGTTGGGCTCTCAGATTGGCCCAGTGCCTCCCAAGGGATTTAGGGGTGCTAAGACTCCTGGAGGCTCACAGACTAGCAGAAGCTGGGCAGGGCCAGAGAGAGGGAGGACAGAGCGCCAGCAGGAAGAGGCCTGCCACCCACCTGAGGCTTAGGGCAATTGGGATTTGCTCAAAGGTGCAAGGGATCAGAACTCAGTACTCTGAGGGTCCCCCCATATTCTCTTGATGGCCCCAGGGATCCTATCTTCCCTCCCTGATCCACAGGCTAGGGGCCTCCTAACTGCCCCTGGAATTTTCTGCCAACTGGAATTTTTTTATTATTTCCAGGCATAAGAGAGACTCTTTAAAGAGGACTTTGGGAAAAGAGGCCTTAGCTTAAGACCCATGGCTGCTTTTCCCCATCTGGACTAAAACCCCTGCGAGACCAGCAGGGACTCTGAAAGTAGTCAGAGCTAGGTTCTTATACTTTTTGACACACTGGTAAAAGCTATGGTCCCTCCCCGAAAAATGGCCTTGCATGTATACATATAACTTGAGGAGGCTCAGAACGGGGTCAGAGCTGGGCCCTTGTGCTCTGCCCCCAGGCCAGGAACCTCACTCCCGAGCTGTGCCACAGATGCACACCCCAGCCCTCCACTCATCCCCACACCCCCAGCCTCCAGCTTGGGTGGCAGCACCACCAGCCTGCATCTTTGAGGCAGTCAGGGCCTGGGAGTCACCATGGCTGGGGTGGGGCATTCAGGGCAAACAGGAAGAGTAGCGAAGAGGAGGCCTATGACCTTCATGTTCTGCTGGCTCCTGGTGGGGCATGGGAGGTGCCATCCCTGAGTTCCCACAACCCCCTAACCCCCAACCAGCAGCTCCTAGCTCCTTGGCAATGGAGACAGTGAGAACAAGGGTCCTAGGAAGTGGGCGGGGCCTGTGCAACTGCCTCTGTGATCTCATGAGGGCCAACAATGCCTTCTGGGTCAGCCACAGGCAGGCAGTGTTGAGGATATCAAACGGACACCACTCCTCAACTCCCGTGGGCCTTGCCATACTCTGTGGGCAGATACAGCTGTCTACCCACATAGCTCGGCCATGGGCTCCCTCTGGGCAGCTTCCAGAATCCACGGACTGAAGACATGCTTCCTCCCTGTGTAATGCCTCTCCAGATCCCAGAGACCACGCAAAACACCAGTTACCACCCTTTCCAGCTGTGTTGTGTAAAGCCTCCACCTTCCTCCTTAGTTACCAACCCTGGGCTCCACTGAGCACTGACAGGGCCCAGCTGCTCACAGGATGGACCAAAATGCACAGGGAGGCATCCAGGGTTCTCCCTGAAACCAGGCCCTTCTTTATGCCAGGAACAGAGGTTGCTGTCTGGAAGAGTCCTAAAAAATTGGTGAAGCATAGCCCTCTCTTTTGAGGGACAGGGTCATTACCTGCTGCTGGATGGGAGCTACAACATGGGTGATGCACAGCCTCTGTGAATGCAGGAGCTTGTTCCTGGTGGGGCAGGTGAGTGCTTTTCATTACACACTTTCCCACACTACTCTGGAAGCCCTGAATATGGGGAATGAGGGTGGGGGGCTGCAGGGGATGCGTCAATAGAGCAGCTGCTTGACAATGTAGAGAAGGGCCTTCCTTGTGTGAAGTCATTCTGAAGCTGTTCCTGAAGTTTTGTTGTCCTTAGGGTTGGAGGCAGAAGCTTAAAGTAACGATGGTGTGGAGGCTCCAGCCTTGAAGGATGTCAGCGTGAGGCTCTGGGGAGAGCAGGCAGGTGCCGTGTCCTAGTCCACCCCTGCAGTCAGGTCTGCTTTGGCTGTCTCCTCAGCTCTGAGGGTCATTGAACAACAGCCAGAGCTCTCCCTGACTTCCCCTGCTTGCCTTCAAGTTCTCCTTGTCTCTGCCAGCTGTGATCTGCTCTCATGGCAACTGCACAACTAGGGCTGCCACTGTTTTGAGATGGTTAACTCAAGTCGTGCAGGGACTGTAGAAAGAAAGCTGGCCAGGAGAGGTAGCCTGGTGGATGACATAGGTAAACATAACCAGAGGCATCCTCCCTCTGCATCTTGAGCCCTACTAGTGGGAAGCCTTTCAACATGAGATTTGCCACACTGATTTGGGTGTCATTGCTTTCCTGCTCTTACTGGCCAGCAGGAGCAGGGGAGCACTTGGACTCTTTTTAAGGTTTCCACATTCTCAGCTTTAGTCATAGGAGGAGTCACCTTCAGACTCTTCTTGAGGAGGGATTGTGGCATCCATCACTGACAGCTGGAGCAATGTGTCCACTGCTGCCCAGGACTAATGGTCTGGACAATGGAGCTCAGAGAAACATGGACCACCTAGCCAGCAGGTAGGAGGAGCCAAAAATGGGGAAGCAGCGTGGAAAGTTCCAGAGAAATGCTCAGTCTTTCCCTTAGCTCTTCCATTACTTTTTTTTGTTTGTGGTATGAGGTATGAACCCCAGGTCCTCACACATACTAGGTAAGTGCCCTCCCACTGTGCTGCAGCCCGGCCCCTCATGCTTTGTTCCCTGAAGTACTTGCTATTTTCTTCCACAACACCGTATTGGGCACCTATGTCACAATGTTGGGGAGTGTGGGGGCATGAAACTGGTGTCATGAGACCTCTGTCCCTCTTTTGCTGTCCTGCTTTCCCATATGCCTTACTGCTTTGTGGCCTCTACAGTGCTGCAGCATGTGACACAGAGCTTGCACAAGGCCAGTCCCACTGCTTTTGACAACTGTTGGAAGGCCTGGCTTTGTGAAACAATCTTACAAGTTAAGGGTTTAACTTGTGGCTTTGTTTTTCTTAAATGACATTCAATTCTGACCCTGGAAAAGTTAGAAGGTTAACAAATCCCCTCCCTTCTTGTAGACTTGATCTTTGGTTACCTTCCTAGTTCTGTTCACCTGGAAACCAGGTTTAAGTGGAGTTTCAACTGTTTTAAGGAAACCCTGTTTGGCACTTCCTGTCTCATCTATAATATAAATGGGTTTGTTGTGAAGACCAAGACAATTCTAATTCAGGTAGAGAAGTTTGTGTGGCACACAGGAAGTCCTTAAAAATGACTCCCCCAGTGGTAAATATGTGGACTTGGAATCCTGTGGGTGAACTGTGGCTTCCCAACTGCAATGCTCAAGGAAGCAGGTCCCTTACAGACCCTGAAAGTGATGCCTACCGTGTTGTTTCAGTCAGCTCCCTTGAGGAATGATGCTTCTAGGCCAAACGAACCCCATGTTTCCCTGATGTCTCATTTCTCGCACCTGAGCTGCCACCTGGGTAGCCAAGGAAGGAAGTTCCTGATGACTGTGGCCTCTGTAAGAGCTACCTCTTTCCCCCTCCCAGAGGGCTGTTATGCTGTCCCACAGGCAGGCTGTTTCCTATCTGACAGCTTCAAAGTAAATCCTGTGCCACCCAGCCTTGGGATTTTTGGGTGGGAATGGTTAGTAGGATATAAGGCAGAGGCTCCTGCTTGGAGTGGCAGCTAGCGTGATGTATCATACCTCTTCTTAGCTATAGAGTTTTGGGCAAGTAATTTGATTTCTTAAGCTTTATGATAAGGGAATGTAGTAGTTATCCTGTAGGGTGTTGTGAAGTTTAAATGAAATAAGGTACATAAACAACTTGGCACAAAAAGCCTCCCAAACCGCTTGGCAGTAAGTTGTGCACTCTTGGTGACGGGAGGGAAGGGAGAGTGTGTCCTTTTGCTCCACAAGGTCCAGCACCCCTGTCTGCCTGCATGCACTGGTGCTGGCTTCAGTCCTGGGTCTCTTTGGTAATAAGAATCACATTCAAAAGTTTTTCATGAGGGTTCAGTCAGGCCCTCTTTGGGAGCACCCAGAATGAATGGCAGTCTACCAGAGCCCCATTGCCAAGAGTCTATGGAAAATGGGAGCTCTTCTAGTTTGGAACCTTGACCCTGACTGCTTCAGTGTGATCACTGTTAGAACCATGAAATGACTAAGTGGAAAGGCTGACAAGTTTCAGAACTGGTCACTGGTTGAGAGCTGGCAGGGCCTGCAGAAGTCCCCTTATCCAAATGTTTCACAGCCAGTTGGGCCCAAAGGAGTAAAAGGACCCATCCAAAGACTCACAGCAATAGTTAGTCTTGCTAGAATTGAGCCTTGTGGTCAGATTTCTTTGGCTTCCAACCCTGCTTGGTACTTCCTGTTTCATCTATAATAAGAGTTTGAAGACGGAGATGATTCTAATCCAGGTAGAGAAGTTTGTGTGGCACGTGGGAAGTGATACAAAAGTGTTAGTTATGGTTATGCTCAGGTTACACTGCCCTGAGCTGTGGCTCCCTATACCTTCTCCACCATCTGCAAACCCTGCACCCTTAGTATGAGCAGGATGTGTGGTCTTGGGTTAGAAGGGCTGCCCTGGTCAGTGCAGTGGGTACAGTGCAGGCCTGGTCCGCCACTTTCTTTACCCCACAAGGATGAGAAGGAAGCCAGCTACTGAGGTTCACGGGGTTGCCAACCCTCATACTGCTTCTGCTCACCACAGTCCAGCTATTCAGATCAAAGCCCTTTGAAAACAGAGCCTGGATTCGGGCTGTCTTCCCAGGAGCCTATGTAATGCTGGCTCTGGGGCACATGGAAGAAGCCTGTTCTTTAGGATTTCTGGGATCAGAGGAGCTCTTAAGAATCCTCTATTTGGGGATCCTCATTTTAGATAGGAGAAAATCAAAGCCAAGAGAAGTGGAGTGATCTGCTCACTAGGTGCAAAGTGATTTGGCTGTCAACTGGTTAAAGAGACACTAGCATCTGTATTGTTTTTTATTTATAAACAAATCGACATAAAATAGTCCAGATGGCAGCGGGAGCAGCAGTGCTGCTAACTTGCTTACAAGGAAGCACACAAGCAAGCGGAGGGGCAGAGCCACTCCAGCCTGGAGGCCCCTCCCTCCCCAGCTTTGGGCCTTCTTGGCCTAAAGGCATTGGGCCCAATCTTCTGCAGCAATTCTGGCCAGGGCAAAGAGCTGTGGTGAGGACACGAGGGAGGAGAGCTGCCATTCCACAGATGAGGCCCAGGAATATAAAGGGCACTGTGAGGCAAGAGAGGGAGGATGACGGGATCCTTTCCTCCTATGCGGAGCAAGCAGTGCGGGTCAGTCCATTCCAAAGAGAACATGCTCTAGGGGCATTACCCTCTGAAAGGGTCAAGCCTGCCTGCACAGGGCCTCTTTGGGACCAGGGCAGGGGTCTTCCTCCTCCCCAAACTCAGTGTCTGGAGTAAGATGAGCATTAACCAGAGGGGTTTGCCCAAGTGCCAGAAATAATAAATTTTTTTTTTAAAGGTAGAGGTTTGCACCATGAGTTTGAAGTCTGGGGATCTGGTGAGAAGGTAGTAGCTGGGGCCCATGGGATGCCACACCAAGCACAGGAGATGGTGGCGGGCCTGTGTGCGAGGGTCTTCCAAGGCCTTAGGGTTGGCCTCTTCCTTCATCACTTGCAAGATGCTCGGTTTAAACTCCTGGTGAGAGGCCAGTCAGGCTTGAGAAATAAATAGAGGGAACCTGGGAGCCACGGAGGGCTGAGGGGAAGAGAAGTGCTGGCCCTGGTCCCACACACTCCCCTCCTCTGTCCTTCATGGAAGGACGTATCATGGCAGGAGGGGGCAGCAGTGGTGGCTCCCTGGTCTCCTGGAGTCCTGAGGTGGCTTGGAGCCCTGCTGAGGCACCTGGGAGTGGGCTGGTGGCCTCCTTCCAGGGAGAAGAATTGCCTCTTCTGCCCCTGATTGCTCAGTTGTATAGGCTTCTGAACTTCTCTTCAGAACTTGCCCTGCTTCAGCCGGTCAATGTGGAAAGAGAGCTTGAGTGCAGGCCCCAGTTTCAGGCCCATGTACTTCATCATCATGTCACTGCGCAGCAGGAGCAGGGCCTTGCCATCGATCTCCTGTGGGTGGGGGAGGAAGGGCAGAAGTGAAAGAGGAGGTGCCATTAGAGGTCTGGTTGGTCTGATCACCTCAGGTTCTGGCTAAAGGCCATCCATGGAAGTGCCAACCATATGGAGTATAGTCAGGTTGCAGAAACCAGGGAGCCTGATTGTCCTGCCTTTGATTCTAAGCAACCCTCCTCCCAGATACACATCGCTGAACCCAACAGGTTGGGCTCATACCATGTTCCTTCACTGCTTGCCTGGGGGCCAGTTTTCCAACTTCTGAGTCTCTGAGAGTAGCTCAACACCATCTCTCCCAGGAGCCTCTCAGTTAGTGTACCTATATAGCCTGTGTTGACCTTGCCCCTCAACCTTAGCTGTTTTGAGACTTGCTGCCCCTCTTGAACAGCAGAGACCCCTCTGTGTGAGCTGGGCCAAAGGCAGGACTCACAGAGCAGATGTGAGCCCTTTTAGGTCTGCTCTGTTGTCTCAGCAAATCCACGTGGTATGAAAGATTTACATGACTGGTGACAGGCAGCAGACCTGTTGAGTGCCCATAGAGGAGTAGCACCAAGGAGCAATAGATGTGAGGATATGGGTTGGGGTCCCAAAGCAGGATTATGGCCAGAACAGAGGTTGGAAGCAATGCCTGGCCATGGAGTCAAATGGTCCCTTGAAGAGACACTGAAGGCTCACAGAGGGGCATGCAGACGTTGGGAGGGAGTGTGGGGGCACTTGCAAGTAATTCTTTAACTTGGGCTGAGGTCCCTGATTCCCATGCCACGGCAGGTGTGTGGGAAAGCAAGCAATCCTTGGAAGAGAAAGAGCCCTATGCTTGGGCCTGAGCCATAGGGTACACTCCCAGGGTGAATGTGCTGAACAGGATCTTGCACTAAAAGAGGTAAACACAGTGTTCAGTGAGGTTTTTTTTGAGACCCCAGAGATTGTTTCTAAGTTTTATGGCGCCACCTGTATTCTACTTTAAGGGACCTGGAACAAAAAAACAGTCCTTGCCCTTTAAGAGTCTGTAAGTTGCAGAAGCAAAACTTCCTGTCAACACTGGAGAAGCTGGTTAGGGGTACCTACATGTTTGCGAAAGAGCTCAGCGTGGGGTCCAAGCTGAGGGTCAGCTTCCCGGACAAATTGCATGACGTCCTCAACTGTCCAAAAGGAGGGGTCTCGGCCACTCAATCGGGAGGTGTCCCGGCTTTCCAGGTATCGGTCAGAGCCTGTAGGACAGGAGGGAGCTGCATCACAGTTGGGGACTGGCTGGTTGCTCCCCACCACTCTCCAGCACCTTCAGGGGCCTTGTAGGTGATGATCAAAGCAGCACTTGAGCACCAGCAGATGAACCGGGGTGGCCTAGGAAGTGAGGGTTTTTCCACAAAGGGAAAGTCCAATCTTTGTTATGTATGGTAGGTATGAGTTTTGGAATTTTCCATTAAGGCTGTGATGCAGCCAGAACCAGAGACAGAGGTATTAATGATGTAAGAGGACCACTTGGGTTCAGTGGAAGGAAGTTAAGGGTTGATATCTTTACCCTGGTTTTGAGGGCCATTTCTAGAGAGACCCTGGAGCTGAGAAAGATTAGAGATAAATCCTTGGGGACTAGAGAGAATAATTTGGTAAGTAATATTCTGAGTCCTCTTTCAAGGCCTGGAGAATAGGTGACTTCACTATAATGTGTTACACTAAGGCAGCGAAGAGTTTTTGCCTTCGTGCTGGAATCTCAATGTCAATTTAGTGCTCTGCTTACAGCTTTTATCTGTCTTAGTTCAAATGTAGCTCTTCCCATTTTTCCTGTGGGATTTGGGATCTCTGTATTTTGGTCATCTTTTGCCACAGATTCCCTGCATGTTTATTTCCTCTACCTGGAATGTCCCTTTCTCTTCCTTCAATTTCTCCTTTTCTTCAAGCAAACTCCAACTTGGCTAAGCAGGTCTTGGCTTCAACAACTTGCTCCTTTATGGAGCTTTTCTGTTCTAATCCTGAAATAGTCTCTCAAAGTATTTACTGTATCTTTTGTCATTGCTCATTCTGTAGTTTGCCCCATCCTACCACCCTAGTAATCTATTCTTTATAAAGAGCTAGTGGAGCCTTTAGAAAGCAGTAATTGAATCAAATTGGTCCCCTCTGAACAGTTACTGCCATGCCTCTCATTGTCTACAAAGAGGAAACTGAACTCCTTACTGCACAGACCTTGGGCTATGAGGCCTTCTATCATTGCCCTTCTCCCTTTACCTCTCTTCACACTCTGCACCTCCTGCCTTGTCCCCTCCTTATCAGCTTCAGAGATAGGCCTTCATTTTGCTTTTTCAACAGGTCACGCTGTTATCCTCTGACTTGCCTGGAATGCCCTTTGTCCAGATCTTTTCTTTATGCCTGACTCAACATTTGGGTCTTTTCTCAAATACAGATTCCACAGAAGCTTGTGGTTGGGCACTGACCAGATCAGGGGAAGAAGCAAGCTAGCGAAAATGGGGGGTGATTAGAAACATAGCCATCCCAGTGCTTTTTAGAGGTGCTAGTAGACCAGAAGTTGAAAGATGACTTTATGAGATAGTCATTTCTCCCTGTTCTAAAAGTTCACTGTGATGCTAAGAGAGAGACTATCTGTAGAGACTCTAAAGAGCATAGAAGAGATATGGGGAAGACAGTGTATATATCGGAACGTGTCCTTGAACCATTTGCCACACACACACACATACCAGTATTATATATAACATGTATGTAACAGGATTTCACACACATATGCACAAACATGTTGTCAACCCAACATCTGTGTTTTCCCCAAATTCCTATGCTGAAAGCCTAAGCCCCAAGGTGCTAGTGTTAGGAGTTGGCACCTGTGTACAGAGACTTCATGAATGAAATTAGTACTCTTGCTATAAAAGAGGTCCAAGACAGGTTTCCCATGCCTTAGGCTATGTGAGGTTACAGGTAGGTAGAAGAAGGTCTCTATATACTAGGGAGTGGGTCCTCATCAGACACTGCATCTGCTGGTACCTTGATCTTGGACTTCCCAGCCTCTAGAACTGGGAAAAAGAAATTCCTGTTGTTTGTAAGTCATCTAGTTTATGACATTTTGTTGTAATAGCCCAAATAGGCTAAGCCGATTCATACATACAATATTATTATCTATTTGTATGTTTCTCTATCAGCCTACTTCCATTAGAATATAAACTCCACAAGGGAAGGTGTAATTTCTGTGATGGTCAGTAAAGCTGTCACTGAAATGATGACATCTGAGCAAAGCCTGAGGCAGAAGAACAATTGGCGTATTTAAGGTTAGCAGGAAAGTCAGGGTGATGGAAGGAACGAGGGAGAAAGCCACATGAATACCCGAGAGGCAGGTACTGAGGGGGAGGAGGAGACAGGGTGGCATAGATGCTGATGCCATCTTGTATACCACTGACTTTTCTCAGTGACAGGTTTTGAGCAGAGGAGTACCATGCACCACTTAGAATGAAAAGGTTCACTCTCACAGTCTGTGTAACAGACTTTAGGGGCAAGGAGAAAAGTGACAGAGACCAGTTGTAAGACAGTCCTTGAAGGAAGTATTACCATGTTTTTTTAGAGAGGAAAGAAATGAGGCCCAGAGAGGTGAAATGTCTTGCCAAGACTACACAGACAGGAAGGAGATAAGGTGGTATCAAACTCTTCCCAGTCCCATTTCTGTAGTCAGCCTATCTCAGGCTCCCTGCCCACCTTACCATGCAACTGCCCTTCAAGGAAGGCTGATTGTTTCAGTCTGAGATTGACTAAAGCAGGTGAGGCACAGAAGCAAGACTAACAAACTCATGCCTAATTTCTTATATTAATGAAATAAGAAAGGGGCTAGACTCAATTTCTGAATTCTTTGAGACAAATGATTCTAGAGCCAATCAAATAGAATCTTCTATGCTTATGGGTTTATACCATGATGTGGCAGACATGATGTGTTCCAAAGGAAGAGGAGAGATCCGAGGAGACCACCGTGCTATCTGAGGTTAATGCACAAGAGGTGCTTTATCACAAAACACCCCTACCAGAAACAGGCCTTGGGAAAGATGTCAACAACAGAAACTCCCCACATACCTGGGGAATGATTTAGTTTCCAAAATGATTCCATATCCCTTCTTTCATTTGATCCTTTCAACACTCCTGTGGAAAAACCAGGATCAGTATCAGCATATTCATTTTCCACATAAGGAACATTTTGCATATGGGGAGATGTGAAACAACTTACCCAAGTCTCAAGGAAGGGGCACTGAGGTTGGAATCAGCTCTCAGCCTCAACCTCTACTTGACCCAAGTTGACAGTTCTTTCTACTCCATTTTGCCATTTGTTGGGGTTGGTAGGGCAGCACAGGCTTCCTCCCCTGTCTCCTGTCTCAGTCTTCAAGAAAGTGTATACTCTGTCTGTCTGTCTGTCTCTCTCTTAGTCACCTTTCCTGGCAGGCCTTGCTAATATAGTCTTATTGTTCTTTCACACCTCACACATCCCTCAGCTGGGGAGGCCAGGCTGGAGGTATGGAGTGGTAGTCTCCTGGTTCCCTGTTGCTGCTTCCAGACCATCCTCCTATGAAAACTCATGTCTTCAGAGGCCAAACATGTACCCAATTATTTGTTCTTCCTGGCCTGTTATCTATGGATCTCTGGATTACCTCCCCTTATTAAATAATGAAGACTTTTTGGTACTTCGTGTACCACCTTCTGTTCTATACCTGTCATTTTCTGTGAAGGCAATATATTTAATTACCACACCTGCAGCAAGTTTCACCTTCACTCTGCTTTAGGCACCTAACTGCCATAGCCACTGTTTGGTTCTTGCCACCACTTAGATAAATCTGCTTCAGAATTTTAAATATTCCCTTATCTGACCCCAGCCTCTCATTACTTCTGACTCTCTTGAGACTTGTATCTACTACAGCCACAAGATTCTTTCACACAGCCCAGACCTGGTGGTCAATGATCTCCACTGCTCTTCCTGTCCATTGCTCTTCCTCTAGCTCCACTGGTTTCCTTGCATGTTTCCCTGATGCTCACCCCACCATGCTATTAGTTAGCATAAAACATTACTTCTAAAACTGTCTTTTCTCACCCCACATCTAGGCTAAGAACTGCAGAAGAAATCCATAGTTCTTACAAAGGGGCAAACTTTTATATCAGGGGCCCCTGATATAAACTGTAAACTTTTCCTTCTGGATCCATTTCCTCCCATCTTCTTTATGATGGGCCCTATCTTTCAGCACTCCTAAGACATTCCCTATTCATTCCTCTTTCTGCCCAATCTTTTTTCATGTCAGAGAAGGGGTAGCTCCACTAGCTCAAAACTGATCCATCTCTCTAGGACCTTGATACCACTTGCTCCTCCCATAAGGCTTTGCTTTCTCCTTTTCCCCATATTCTTAACTTCTTCTTGGAAAGCTCCAGTTGTCTGCTGATAAACATGCCTGAGTGCCCCACTCTAAATGGCTTTCCTTTGGCTTACAAATCTTAGCAATCTGCTAAGATCACCAATTACCCACCAATTCAGCAGGTACTGCTCAGCCCCTGTGATACTGGAACATATTCAGCTATGCTCTCCTTAGAATACTCTGTAACCCTGACACTACATTACCATCTGCTGCTTCTCCTTTTTCTTCTTTTTTGGTGGTACTAAGGGTTTGAACTCAGCTTCAAGCTTGCTAGGCAAGTGCTCTACTTCTTGAGCTATACCCCTGGCTCTTTTTGCTTCAGTTATTTTTCAAATAGGGTCTTGTGTTTTTGCCTGGGCTGGTCTGGACTGTGAGTTTCACCTACTACATAGCTGGGATGACAGGCATGTACCACCACACCCAGCTTATTGATTGAGATGGGGGTCTTGCTAACTTCTTGGCCTGGCTGTCCTTGAACCACAATTCTCCCCATCTGTCTCTAGAGTAGGTGGGATTACAGGTGTGAGCCACCATGCCCAGCTTTAGCTTCTTCTATTTCCTCTCACTCTGAACATTCCCTTGTAGGCTCTTCTTTCAGTTCCCATCCCTTGAACTTTGATCGTTCCTAGGACTCTTATCTTTGACCAACTGTTCTTTTCACTCTACATGTATTTTTGGGAAGTCATTTACCTTACAATTTCAACTACTATTTATATGCTGAGGTCTTCCAAACACTTAACTTCAGCTCAGTACTCTTCCTGAATCTGACCTGCATCCTGCTGCCTTGGGTATCCCCTAGATAACCCACAAGCTCCCTGTCTTCTTTTCCTCCATGGTTGGGCTGCTCTTAGAAAATGGCATCACCGTCCAGCCAACTACAACACCTAGTCGTCTGATCCCAGAAGACATTCTCTACTTTCCTTCCTTCCTTCCTCACAGTACTCAAATCTGTCTAAATTTACCTTGTGAGTAATTTTCAACCCATCCACTCTTCTTCGAACCTTCTGCCATGGCCCTAATTTAGGCCTTTTCACTTCTCGTCTGGCTCACTCTCATAGCCCCTACCTGTTCTTTCTAGACTGGTCCTTAAGTCCACACTCAACCCAGCAGTCAGTGGTCACTCAAAGCATGAACATGTTTATGACCTGCCTCTAATTAAAAGCCTCCAGTATTTTCATATTGCCTACAAGATCAACTCCTAACTCTTTAGCATGGCATCTAAGGTTTTCAACGATAGAAGTCCTGGTCTTTCCAGACTTTTCCCTATGAAGACCCAGTAAAACATTTCACGTTTCAGCAATACCAAACTGCATACAGTCCTGGTACCACCGTTACTAGTTCCTACCCCTCTGCCCCTGTCCTCTCTTCCTGAAAAGCCTTCCCTCATCCCCACCTGACATGACTGTTCATCTGGTTTCAGACAAGGTATCCCTCCTCAAGGAAGTGCCCTTGAAGACCAAGCTGCGGTAGGGTGTCCCTGCCATTATATGTTATCCACAGCATATTTCTGTCACTGTGCTTGATTTATAATTGTCTTTTTTTTTTTGTGGGACTGGGGTTTAAACTCAGGGTTTTGTGCTTGCAAAGCAGGTGCTCTACTGCTTGAGCCACACCTCCACTCCATTTTGCTCTGGTTATTTTGGAGATGGGGTTCTTGAACTATTTGCCTAGGCTGGCCTTGAAGTGTGATTCTCCTGATCTCAGCTTCCCAACTAGGTAGGATTATCATGCCAAATACAGCTGGTGTTTAATGAATGAAAGAATGAATCCTTGCCTGTCCCTTTTGGCTCCAGGTGTTTGGCTCTTAGTTTATTATTCTCAAGCCAATCCCAGAGCTCCCATTACCTCCTAGGTACCTGGTTAGGCATAAAAATAAGCCTAGCCCCAGTCCCACAACCATTGGATGGGGGGAGCAGAGCTGGGATTTCCTGGCTCCTGGAGGAAGAGAAGAAAAAGGAAGAAAAGTCAGAGGGCCAGAACTCTGGTCAGCTTACCCCTGGAGCACAGCCTGCGCACAGCTGAGGCAGTGCTTGGTGGGAGGCCACAGGTGGGAAGCAAGGGCCGGTACCCAGGAGCTCGAAGATTTGGAGAGGTGCTGACAAGGTTGGTGGGATTCAAGGCAGAGTCCATTGAGTCCGAGTGTGGTTCTAATGACCGGGCCAGACTATTCCCCAGGATAAAGGTTTCACCTGGAAAACAAAACCATGGTGAGAGCAGGGATTGACTTGGAAGGACTACCAGAGTACTGGTTCCCAGGTACACACTTGGGTGGAACAAGAGGCAGCAAGACAGAAAGCCCTGTGGGGATTCCAGAGGCCTGTGTATCAGTTATGGCTCTGGCTCTCACTAGGTGACCGTAGCCAAGATCAGAATTTGGTTTCCTCTCTGGATTCTGGACTGTGATTTCTTTAAAGATTCTTTGGCTTAGATTGAATAATCTGAATTTTTTTTCCTGGTCTGGTTGTCCTAGAATTTATCTGGATAAGGAGAACTTAAAAAAAGTGGAGCTACTCTAGGGTGGAAGAGACTCCCTCAGTCATAAGATGCTAGAGCAGGGGAGATGAGTAGTGGAGAAGGGATACATTTGCTCAGATGATGTCCTTTAGAAGGTGACTTTCTGATCAACCAGGAAGACATCTCAGAAATGCTTCTTGATGCGTGGCTAAAGGCTTGTCTCCAAAGGATCTGCTCCTTCATTTGTATTTATCCTGCTCTACAGAAATATTTCAAAGAAGCTAGAGTTGTACACTAGCTTGGACACGCAGAAAAGATCAGGACTAGGATTTGGCTCTGCTATCTCAGCAGAGTACTTTTCTGAAGACCTCAGTGTGTTGTTCACTACACCATGGGAAGCCTTCCAAGGGGCTTGTAAACATCAGAAGCAAATGGCTATGAAGGTCTTTGAAAAGGGAATCTTACCCTGCTGTTTCTAAACCAGCCCATAGCTGATACCAGGCAGCAGCACCCAATCGCCATGATGAAGCTGATTCCTCTCATCATGGTTCTGTCCAAACCAAGTCAGTTCATCAGCCAAGGCCACAGCATTCCTTGTATTTGTGGGGGTCTTGGGTGCCAGAACATATCACTGTCTTTCATAGCTTTCTTAGAGATCAAGTATTTAGATAATGCTTATGATTCATTCAGGGACACTGATGAATGCTAAATTCATCAGCTGCCATATTAGAAGACCTCAGTGGCAAGACGGTATGGGATTTTAGGACTACTTTCTAATACCTAAAATTGCTCAGCAATCATGGGCTCAAGGTCAAATATAGCATTAAATAGCTATTCCACCTCTGCAGGGAGGCTCCAGGACATCTAAACCATGTCCCAGTCTCTTTCTACAGATGAGGTTTCTGATTCCTGTTTTCCAGGACAGAGGAATATAGCAGGTTGCATTGTGAGACACAAACAGAAGCCCAATCCCCAAAGCAGGTGACTTAGTTCTACACCCTGTTCCTGCCTTTAATAAGGTGTGTGATCCCAGGTAAGTCGCCTGTCTTATGTATAAAATGTCTCATGTATAAAATGGGGAAAAGTACCCCTTGTCATTCAACAACATCGAGTGAGAAGATGGAATGCAAAGAACTGTTACTTTATTTTATTCAGTGGTAGAGCAGGAAAGCTAAACTCTCTGCTATTCATTTGGGGTGGGTAGGGGAAGATATTATCTAGTTTCTGCACTTAGCAGTGGAATCACCTTACCTTTCCAGCCTTCATTTTAGTCAGCTATGGCTAGGGAGAATTCCACCTGCCTCTCAGGAGCTAAGAGATGTGACAAGTAATTATTGTGACGGTGCCAGAGCTCATCAGAAGTAGATGCAGACCAGTAGGAGCCTTTTCCTCTCAGCAATGCTAAGGATTCTAACTTAGATCTGGATTCTGAGTTGAGGTATCTGAAAATTGGGACTGGTGATGTCTGGACTAGGCAAGGTCATCAGATCTTGTTCCTAATGAGATGTACTAGAAAAAATGAGGATCATGCTCAAAGCTGCAGGAGGTCCTAGTCCTCATAAGGCTGATCAGATGGGATGTGGCTGCCCTTAGTAGGAAAGAGCCAGGGTAGAAGACCACAATGCTTTACTGCTTGTGCTCTTCAAAGCCTTGGGGATCTTCTACAGGGAGGCTTTGGTCCTCTTACCAGCTTCTGTCAAAATATCACTGGTTTTACACATTATCTATATACACCTATATAGATGTATACATACCTATATACACACATACATATGTAACTGTACATGTATATATGTATACATGTACACATATACACACACACACCCTTATATACACATAAACACACACATATGCATACATATATAGTGCTGGGGATCAAACCCAGGACCTCCTGCATGCTAGGTAAGTGCCCTACCACTGAGCTGCATCCCCAGCCCTTGAACTTTACCTTTGCAAAAAAAAAGGAGCTCTGCTAAAACAACAAATTTTATTGATCCAGATGTCAGAGGTTGGGGCTAGAAAACTTGAGTTCTATTTCTGGCATGAAAGAGCTTTCATCAATGATCAGTGCCTTTTTCTGGAATTCAGTTTGCCCATCTATAAGATGGAGATGAAAAATCCTTAATCGTCTAGGGTCAATGTGAATTAAATTTACTGTTGCTAAGCTAGAGGCCTAAGGGCACTTAATGCTCAGCAAATTGTTGTTGAATACTCTGTATGCCCCCACTATTGCACTACACTCATTGTCAGTGAGAAGCAATTCTTCTCAGAGTATCCAGTGCAAAGCTAACCTGAGAGACTAGAGTTCCCAGTGGAGGGTGGCCAGCATGGTGGTGAGGAGCCTTGAGATGCAAAGGGGAAAGGGTCTAGGGAGGTAGGGTCTAGAGAAAAGCCATGGGAGACAAATACCCCAAGGGCACCATGGGAAGGGAAGAGGGCTAGAGATAGATTTGTTCTTTTGGAGTACAGAGACTTGAACAGTGGGCAGGAGTTATGAGAAGACATATTTCAGCTCAAGAAGATGGCATTTTAGCCATCAGAACTGTCTAACAAAATCAATTGCTAAAAGTCAAAAGCAACTTGTTATTGAGTGTCTTTCAGTAGAGGTCAGATGACCATGGGATTGTCACCAGAGCACTTTCTCCTTTGGAGGCTCAAGGAGTCCATGCTCACAACCAAGCTTTCCCCTGCAGTGAGCGTGGAGCAAGAGCTATAGATCTAAGAAAATTCTGACATCAGCACAAGACCCAGAAATCCTAGTATAGTCCTTATGAAGGTACACCCATGTTGAAAAATACCCCTCTCTGAACACATGTCCCACATCCTTTGCTTCCCTTTCATTTAGGAAATACTATTAAATGCTTATCATGTGACACTCAAGGTGACAGTGAGAACGGTAAAAAAGACTGTTCTTCCCCTCTTGGGGAATGGGAAAAATGATTAAAAATGTTGTAATTATTACAAAGGAAAGGAACAGAGTATTCAGACAGACAATAACAAAGGTCTTCTCTTGGTTGCAGAGACCTTGGAAAGTCTCCCTGACAACTTGATGTTGTCAATTTAAGTTGGTCTGTAGAAGAGTCCTGCCACCTGGGAAGTGAATGTGTGCAGACAATGTGCTTCAATTAGCTATGGATATACCCAAAAGTCTGTGACACAGGTTACTCCAGAGGCACCTGCACACCCATGTTTATTGCAGCACTATTCACAATAGCCAAGTTATGGAAAC